CTTAAAACAACAAAACCCTCACGCACACACAGAAACCCCTCAAATAACTGAAAAAACCACCCCCACCCGCCCCAAGCCGCGCACACACACCGGTCGGGGAAGGTTGGGAGGCCGGTGGGGAAGGGCAGGCTAGCTGCCGTCAGGGAGCTTCGGCACGCCGGGGCTGGCCGCCCGCCGGCGGCACGCTGTCGCCCCGCTCTCGCCTCCCTCCGGGGCCGCCGGAGGGCAGAGGGGCGACCCGAGGGGCTGGTGTTGTAAAATCCCCTTACCTGGGGCTTCCTGTCGCTTTTCGTTCCTAGCGCCTTTGCCCCTCAACAAGGATGGGAGCTGTGAAAGGGAGGGGGACGTGCCTGCTGTCGGTGTCGGCTGGTTTTCATTTCGGAGTTTTTTCGGAATTAGCTGTGTTTCACTCTTTGCTTATATAGTGGACTCTAGCACTTACCTTACTGGCTTGCGTTTTGTAAAGAATACAGTCTTGGAAAATCTTTCACGTCTAAGTCATGCCTGCAGCAGTAAAACTAGTACCCTTCAGAGCGCCTGTGAAGCATTTACACAAGGCTGCTTCAGGTGCCCCCTCGACGTCCTTCTGCATGCCGTGGTGAGGCAACAGTTACTTTGCTTCTGCCTGCTACAAGTAGCTCAAGGTCTGTGGTAGTACCGGTACCTAGCAATTAGCAGCATTGTTACAAAAGGCATGTTTGCTCTTCCTTGATAGAGAAAGCACTGACTTATTACAGAACAATTACCACCGTCTCCTCTGAGGACATGAAACTGCAAGCAAGCTGCTTGAGTACGGTAGCACCAAAGAGAAAGGGCTACGTAGTCACTGGTGCTAAAATTACAGATACAACTCTATGCTAAGGGTGGTAGAGGTGGGAACTCCTTCAAGCTAGAGGTCCCATGGCTTCAGGATTTTTTTCAGTTCAGCCTCTTCTGTTCTCTGAGCAGAATCATCTCCGTAGCTGTTTTAGGACACACCGGCTAATGTAACACTACATCATACTCCATGTCCCAGGGTCTGAGACTCATTTACAAGTTTGCAAACAGTGGAGAATATGATATTTATAACCTTCTAACTCTCCTGAAGGTCTGCAAAATCAGCACATGACTTAAATCTCTTTTCAAGGTTATTTCAGGTGTAGAAATCCTTTTTTTCTGTTTTGGGGGGTTGTTTTGGGAGGGGGATATGTAACAAACATTTAGTGCACAGGAATTAGATCCTCAGGTTTATAATAACATCATGTATGCATTAAAAATTAAACTATTAAAGTTTTTTTTTTTCTCAGCATTGCTTTCTCTGTGCATGTGTTCAAAGTTTCCTTAGGGTTTGATTCTTTACTTTGTCATCCTCCTATCATTATTTTCTCTGCTGTTTTATTTTAAAGAAAACAAACCTTGTAATGATACTTGAACTTTTGATCTTGCAGAGTTTTAAATGCATTTAACAACAAGCAACAAGCTTTTGACTCAAAGTTTATGCAACAGTGATAGGTGAAACCATTAGAAAATAGAAAGATAAGCAAATATTTGTTTAAACAAGCGTAAGTAGTTGATTTGCTGATTTCTTCCCCATAGGCAGTTGTGTGTATTTATATTGTGAATGTAAAATACTTTTAAAATCAAAGCTTAGTATTTCTAGGTCCATGGAAAACAATTGTCTTCACCTTTACCAATTAAATATATATGAGTAACTAATTATAAAGCAGTTGCTTCATAATTTGAAAGCTAAATATTTTTTATACTTTTTAGTGATAGGAACTTTTTAAAATACTTCCCTGACATAAGAAAGAATGCGGGTAGGTTTTAAAGGAGTCGGGATCCTCTGAGTTTGCTGATCCTGGAGTTTCATTCAAATGTGGCTACTCTCTGAATAATGTTATTCATTGCTAGTGCAAGTAAATATTTGCCTTGTCTAATAGTATTTGATGACCAGTACATACAGTTTGAGATAAGTGTCAGCATCAGGGGTTTTTTGGCCACCTACGGAAAGGTGTACACAGCAGTACAATTCCCACCACACTAACAATTTTGAAAATTCACATCATATCTCTGTTCCCACATTAGGGTCGGATCTCCAAGGAAAAAAATCAAAATCCAGATTTATTCTTGCTGTATATCTTTTACCTTCATTAGCATTATTCAAAAGCAAAAATAAGCATCTACAGAAGAGTTTTCAGGATTGTACTATTTCAGTTTTTCCTCCATGGTTCCACAGAAGAACATCAGGTCACTTAAGAGGCATCAATAAAAATTCCTTTTTCAATGGAGGAGAGTCCCAATTCCCTCATCAGTGATTCTTAACAACAATGACAACCAAAAAGCATCATAATGCAACAGCCAGAGGAAGGGAGAGGAAAAGGGAAGCTACACAGATTCCCATCTTTTATGGGCGGCAGGGCTAGGCTGCTAGATGAGGGGTTTTTTGCACCCTAGTGCAGTCAAGTTCTCAGTGACTGTGGAGTTCCCCACCTGTAAATTTTTTAACAGGCTGAAGAACTCTTCCCAATGTATTACACTGTATTTCACCTATTTCTTCATCTAAGAACAAGCTAGTATAATGTAGGAAAACCTTTGGGCAGTTTATTCCTGGAACTAACACTTATGTGATATATTTAAGCTTTCTTCCAATCGCCAGTGCTATTTTTTCCAGCTTACTTGTTGCTTTCTTGAATAAACTTGCACTGCTTATGGTTTTATTATCCTGTAGCTCAGCAACAGAATTGTGCAGATCACAAGGCTATTGATATTTTTTTGCTGAGCTCCTGAGGGTTTTGTTTATCCAAAATGCTGCTACATCTCTCTTGGTGCAGCTCAAGAGAAATCCAGCTTCTTAAAGTACCTGGCAGCCACTTTTATCTGTGGCAGCCTCTAGGCATTATTAACAGTTATATTCCAAGAAGCTGTGCAGAACATTAAGACTAACTGGTACTTTCTAGACCAGTGGTTAGCACCCAGCACATTTACCTTAACTCCTCTGGCTGATCCACCATTAACCACATGTGCTTGCTCCCACAGATGCAAGCGTACGAACTCCTAACAATCATGAGAAGGCTGCCAAAACCTAAGGGGTACGCAGAAGTACCTTACATGCAGTCGGGAAAAGTTTTAAATCACTACTTTTTGTTAAGTGTTGTGGTAGTTATGTTTGATCTTATGGAGGACAGTCAGAAGTCATTTTCATTGAATATCTTGTAACAAATTCGTAAAACAGCTACAGGTGCTTCCCTCTTTCTTCTGCTTGCACGTTGTTATTCTTCAAGAGCAAAGGCACACAAAATCATATACTGCTTTTTTCTGCTGATCAGGTTTTCATTGTTGTTATGCTTCCTTAAGAGTGAACATCATCTTCAAATCAGGAGGGTACCAACTAAAAAGGCCAAGAAACAGTGTTCCGTAACAACCACGAAGAGAGTGGATATTGTGCGTTTGGGTACAGGTAGGAACCTGGAGAACAGCTACGGTAAAAGGAACTTGTAGATGTTTCATAACCTTGTATTTTATTGTGTGATTTACATAGAAGTAGTTGGTTGAATAAAAAAAGGTAATGAGTATAGAAGCAGGGCAGATCATGGTTTAGAAAAAAACATGAGAAAAAATGTATCAATGTAGGTTCAATGAGGGAAGTAACTTCAGTTTTGCTGGTTTTAAAAGTAGGGTTTTTTGATGGCTGACAGTGGCTTTTTGGGTATTGTTGGTATGAAGACAGAACTTCAAGGCAGAATACTAACTACCAATAATATTTCAGTTTTACTATTAAATTATGTATACACTTTTTCTTAACTATTTCTAGCTAAGAATATGTTCTTACCTACTATGAGCAAGAGCAGCAGTAGAAGAGCATTGGAAATCCTGCTGTCATTCACTCAAGAAGTACTGAAAAAATGAGAGATCTGTTTTTTTCTGGGCCTTCATAGAGCATGGTCATTTTAACCTGTGAAAAATGGATACAGGATTTTTATTTTATAGTAGTTTATATCCACTTTTCTTAGGAGTAAGCAGCTATGTAGGATACAGAGATTCAAAGAGAAACAGACCCCAAATGTTAGGCATATTTCAAAACTGGAAGATTAAAATAAACTCAATTTTGCACTAACAAACATGTGTGGCTTTCTCTTTAGGGTGAGTGGTTTAGTTTCTATTTGTTTTGTTATTTTACACAGTGATAAAGTTTCACTCCAGCTGACTTGTTTATTTTCTTTGCTGCTCTGTGTACTTTGTGTATGTCATTGTTCAGTAACTCACAGTAGCTGCACTCCTTAAAAGGAGTCGACTTAGAGAAACTTTCTTACTGGCCCAAACAAGTTTGACAGGTTCAATGACCCCAAATACTGGTACAGTGAAAAATATCCCAGATTCAACCACCTTCCAAGCACACATTTTTCAACATACTCTTACCCTTCAACAGAAATGCCTGGATTAAAGGATACCAGTTCAAGTAGCACTTAGAAAGTGAACAGTTAATATGATAAAAATCACAAATGAGTCTAATTCTCAAAAGGCAAAACTGGTCCTTGCAGTAGGAATACTTCGAAAATGACCACCACCAGCAGCAGCTCAGGTTTCTTTCTAACAGATGTCTGAGACTTACTGTAGCCAAATTTTGCTAATTTAATTGCATGGTAGGCTAGTCTCATCTTTGCAATGTGAAGTTACCCACTACCCTAACACTACAAACAAATAAAAAATTATGAGAGTAAAA